TATATATATATATATATATATATATATATATTTATATATATATATATATAATATATATTATATAATATATATACATATATATATATATATATATATATATATAATATATATATTTATATATATTATATAATATATATATAATTATATATATATATAATATATATATATAATATATATATATATATATATATAATATATATATAATGTATATATATATATAATGTATATAATAATATATTAATATTAATATATATATATATAACATATATTATATTACTTATATATATATATCACAAATGCTTTTTATCTGTTGTAGATTGAAGAGTGCTCAACACAATTTTTGTAGAGCGATATTTATTTATTTAATCTTAAAACAGTATTAGCTGCTACTTAAAGTTTCATGCTTCTTGCAATCATCAGGCAACTGTTCATATTTCAGTTCAGTTTGGTGACGCTACTCATGAACGGTTTTTTAACGCACGCGCGTGTCCGTTGGTTTCGTACGCGCTCGTGAATTTTCCCGCGTGATATTTTTCTGCATGGCGGCATTTCGCGAAAAGTTCTGATCTTCGATTAAGGCTTTTCTTTGGCTTTAAAAGGCACAACTTTTCCTCGGTACATAGCCTGCAGTGTTTTCCCCCCGCCGAATAAGCTGGATCGCGCTTTAATATAGACCACTTTATTTTATAGTCCTTCCCAGCGTATATTACATATTTGGACAGCTCCGTCTCGTTCTCGTATTAGGCAGATTTAGCTCGAGGACGCGAACGTCAAAGAGGACGTGAGAATGGCGAATAAATGGCGTGATACGCCTATATTTGGACATGCCACGCCATTTATTCGCCATTTTTACGTCCTCTTTGACGTTCGCGTCCTCGAGCTAAATCTGCCTATTGTGGGTTGTTAAACGACTTATAATATAAATATATTACATTTGCACATCGTAGGTGTAAATATCCGAGCGGAATTAGTACCCTCGCACGGTGCTCCACACCGGCTCGGCGATTATTAATATTATATATTATACTATATATTGATTTCTATACATTTGTAAGAAGGAGAACCGGGTAGTGAAGGTTGTGTAAAAGTTAGTCGAAAAAAGAAGTCAGAAAGTAGAAAATTACGGTACGCCAGGTACAACAAATTGTGTATAACGTATTTTAAGATTAGTAAACTTTTTTGTGTTTTTTGTATGTCCTTTGTCGAGAATACGGATAATTTTCTCGTCATAATCGTTAATTTCTTGATTTCAAACAAACAACAACACTAATCCCGCCATTTTCTTCATACCACGCGTTTTTCCGCAAATTGATATTTACCGGTAAATATAAAAAAATCTGACGAAAATGCTTAAGTCAATATGAGCACTAAAATTTGATAGAAGGAATGCAGAGTTCGTAATTAATCGATATCTTGATAATATAAGTAAGATCGATATCTTTATTATGCGAACTAGGGTGATATCTAGATCTATAAGGATACATGCATGGTAAAGAGGTTGTTAGGTCTAATACTTACTAGTAAAGATCGTCAAACTTATTGTTATTCAGTTATAAGCCATATGCATGTGCCAGCATCGAGTTTGTAGCTTGAGATTAACCGCAAACATCTGAATTGTGATTAAGGCCGATATGCATATCAGTTTGAAATCTCAACAAAGCGCCTGTTTTTATCCATCTTTTCATTCTTATTTTTTACGTAGTTGAATACTATAATTTTGCCTTCAACAGTGAATTTTCCGCATGCTTTTCGGCATACTTTTCTACATTTTCCACATAGTTTTCTACATACAAATGAATATATACTACTCATTTCACAGGGTTAAGATCTGCTATCCATAATGGAGTTGACAAACCACACCACTGCTGTAAGTAATCTTACAAATCAAACAAATATGTCAACAATTGATGATTGGAGGATTCAAAGGGATGCATTTTGGAAACGACTAGATTTCGTACAACAACTTTTAACAATTTTTATCGCTGTCTTCACAATTCTCGGAAATTCTTTGGTGATAATTGTGACATGGAAAGAAAAATGTCTTCATCAACCGAACAAGTACTTTATTGTTTTACTGGCTGTCGCTGATCTACTCGTTGGGTTATTTGTGGCTCCATTCGTGGCTTATCAAATAGGCGTTGAATTTGAGGGGAGTGAAAGTAGTTTGTCGATTCATCTTTGTCGTTTCATGTTGTGGATAGACACCTTTGCGTTAACAACATCTATTTACTCACTGACAATTATCAGTTTTGATCGATATCTCAAAATCAGCGGACCACTTTTGTACAAATCACGAATGACAACTTCCAGATCAAAGAAGATCATTTCCGTCATTGTTCTTATTTCGGCTGCTTTCGCCTCTTACTCTGCTACACCTCAGTCAAGAAGTTATGGAATCATGGACACTGGGTCTGGCTCTTGCAATCTTCACACTGACTTTGAAAAATCCGCAACATATTATCTTATGCTAACAATAATTGCTTTTTTTCTACCTGCTGTAGTCATCCTGATTATGTACGCTTTCGTTTTTCTCGTCGCTCATAAACGAAACAAAAGGCTAGAGAGGGGGGAGCTGGGTCAAACAGTCATCAATCACCGTCAAAGAAATGCATTACGTCGAGATATGAAAGTGATCAAAATGCTGCTGGTTGTCGTTGGATCTTTTATATTTTGCTGGGGTCCTTGGTTTACTTGGACATTGATGTATTTTTACCATCCAAATATTGTTGAATGGGATAACACATCATTAAGTTACTGGTCCGGATTAATCATATTCGTTTTTATAGCCAGCACACTTCCATTATTTAACAGTTTGTGCAATCCAATAATCTACGTGTGTCTTGACGAAACATACAGAGAAGCTTTCAGACAATTTTTCCGTCGACAAAACGGAAGAGGGCAATAACCATCAAGAGAAATACGATCTTCAACGTCCACGACAACTATATAAAACAGTTACATGAAGTAATGAAGAGGTGGTCTTTATCTGAAATTCCAAAGTAGTAAGACAAGAAGCCAATTCTTGTACAAAATAAGACTTCCAATACTTATTTTGTATATAATTTTAATACATTTAATATTAATAATATTATCATGTCGGAAAAGCTTAACTTAACTTCATCTGATCGCTGTTTAAGAACGTAAAAAGAAATACTATAATATATACAATGGATGTATAGTGTGAAAACTTGCATGCACTTTCAAATGACTGATCTCAAAATCGTACGCGTATACAATGGATAGTGAGGGATACTTTAGTATAATTATATAGATTGTAGATAAAACGTGCATGAAAGAAGCTGCGATTACGAATTATTATAATTATAAACCAGCATGCAGAAAGCATTTCTCATACAAAGATTTGAAAAGCCTCATTTACAAAAATTACACAGTAAAAAGAATAAGTAGGGCGGGGTTGCTGGACAAGTAATTTTTTGAGGCATTGAGGCAGATGTCCTCTCTGTTGGAACATATAAAAATTACAAAAGAATGAGCAAATCGCCGTGTAGTACAAAAAATCTATAATTGCTGAAGTATCATGGATAAGTTCAAAATGGAAAACGACCGACCCCTGGCTCTGACAAGACCCCCTGCTGTTATTCTATGTTTTTTATTGCACCTTAATTGAAGTTAATAGCACAAGCTAGCACAGGACTGTAATTAAATTCACGTATTATTCAAATGTTTGCATAATTATGCAAATAAGAGCGATCAATACTTCGTATTACCAATGGTTATAATTCCAATTTAATGGTCGTTTATAGTAAATATCATAATTATAGCGGAGTGTTCAGTCCCCTGTCCTCCGTGAATTATTGATTTCCTACAACAATAATACTACTGTATATTTTTGAAAAAATGAATACATTCTTCAAATGTTCAGATTAAATTAAAAGAGGCTAGCATGAGAAATTAGCAAAGCTATCACTAAAAAAAATGCCCTGAACAGAAGCCTCAATAAAACTACAACATTTCACCGAGTTTATTTTATTGCGAAAGTAATTGACTTCTGTTCTTCCACAGGACGAAAAGCGTGCCATTAATTAGCTTTAGCAAAAATACTAAAGGTATTAAATGCGTATCTATAACTTTTAATAAGCCGACTAAAGGTGATTAAAGAAAAAGTTACATTTAATCGCATTTATTTTGAATAAAACATCTCTTTTGGAAACCGATAGATTTAATTGCATTTAGTGAGCATTTTAAAGTGGGTTAAAGCCGACATTAGTGCGCGTATAGTTTAATAAACTTTAACCAGTTGTTTAAATGTTGATTAAAGGCAGAGATAGCATTTAATCACCTTTAATTTGATTTTAAATGAAGACAAAACCTGACACCTACTTTAATTCCGTTAGGACGGCAATTTAATAGGATTAAATATATTGTTATTGCAACAATTATATGGTAACAAATAAACATGATGATATCTGATACGTTTGTTATTATCGAGTAACGTAATGCTATAATGCGCCTTTATTTCACCTGAATTTAAGCACTTCGAGACACTGTCGGACAATATACAAGAAATAAGAAAGACTTCTTATTGTGCAAATTCGCTCATTAGTATAATTATAAAGTGCGGAAGTGATTGATATACAAGTTTATATAAATTTGGCCAAAGTGCGTGGCAGTTATAATACGATATGGATAAGGCGAACAGTTACGTGTTTTGCGACCACTGCGAACAAAACGTTTCGGAAACAACATTCCGTAGACATATGGCTTTAAAACAATCTCGCCAGCTGAAGAGAAGTTTGAAGAAAGATTCTTCAACGTCTTCATCCGACACAGACGGAGAAAGTGATTGTAACAGTTACAGTTTCAAAGGTGAGAGTGTTTTGCATGCAAGTCCATAATATACAGCTATATCATTATTAGCACACTGTCCACCAATTCCATAAAATTCAGTAACCAATATGTATGGCTTTGATTGTACATCTGAATACCAAACAGAAAATGGCAAACCTTAATAAGAAAAGTATTATGAAATTAAAATAAAATAAGTCATGAGTCTTCTTGTATTTCCATGTACAGTACAATTTTACACAATCTGAATACAGAGACATTGAATGAAGTTGATCATGAACAATCAACTATTAAAGCAGAAGTTTCTCAGCTTTAAATTTTGAGTGAAAATACAAACTTCAGGATCAGTTTTGCTAGAAGAGTTGCCATACTGCTAATCATTATTCCACATGATCATACCTAACGGTAAACAGGCCTATCCCCAACATTGATAATTGGTGGTGTGGGGGGGATGGGTGTATTAATATATCCATGTAAATATGAACATGAATATATGAATATACACACCCCTCCCAACTATCCACGTAAACTCTGTTACAGTGCCGTAAGTTTCAAGTATGCTGTAATCATAATAATTAATCATTTTCATACCAGGGTGATCAAATGAATTAATCATCATGGCTTCCTTTTCCACATCAGTTCTACTTGTATGGCTTTTAAACTGTTTCACAGCAACTACATGCCCTCTGTACATCTTTTTTACACAGATGCCAAATGTCCCCTCACCAATTTTATTTTTTCGTCCACTTGACAATATTTTCAAGTTGGCTGGGTCAATTTCATGGATAGACCTAGAAAAATTTAAATAAATAATAGCCAGGTTGATATTGAAAATATTTAGGCTTGAATATTGTTCAGCTGTATAACTGCTATTCAGTATACTATAGTTGAATGCATTAGGTGGCAATGCCCCCTACTTATTTTTTTACTTGTCTAATGTCAGATTATTTCATTTGTCAGGGGGGAAGCTCTGCCACTTAATGTGTTAACTACAAAAGCTGACAATCTCTCGAGTTAACGCATTAAGTGGCAATGTGCCCGGCATGCCCTACTTATTTTTTACTTGTCTAACGGCAGACAATTTTACTCATTAGTGTGGAAGCTCTGCCCCTTAATGGGTTAATATAAAGATCAAATGATCTTCAAGACAGTGTTGTTTCATGAATTGACAGCTACTGTAAGCACAAACTATTGTTTCAAAAGGTTGGAGACATATGGTCATATCTGTAGCTAGCATTTCATGAGTACCCCATTAATGTTCAAATTTGCTTTCTCTTCTTAATTGGCCAGTACAATAGTAACTCCAAACGAGCAGAACATTTTGAGCACATTCTAGCTTCGGAATAAAAAAGCTAGTAAAGTGAGCTAAAATTTACAACATTTCACAACCAAACTTTGAAAATATACTAATTTTAGTATGCTCTTTTCCAGCTTTGGTGATTTATTTGAATCTCCTTGTCTATTTCAGTCCATAATTGGAATTGTCAATTGTGTCTAAAGTTTTTATGAATCATGCAAGATAAATGTACTAGGGACAGAGGATTCTAAATACTATACTATTACACCATTTATATCAGACTCCCTATGTACAAAGGCCCAAATCAAACATTCATCCCATCGCTTTCCACCCACAGCAAAGTTTGTATTGAGTATTGAATGAAAATGTTGCAGGGGAAATTTAAATTTCACACAAAATTTGAATTATAGTTTTGATCACTGTATCATCATTCAATCAAATGCAGATTCAAAAAGATTTTGTCTAATCGGGCAATCAGACAAAAAAGCCTGAATCTGGCTTTTTACATGCAGCATGGTAAAGAATATATCAGGTCCTCCTTCATTTGTCGCTGCCAATCAATCATAGCGAATGAAAACATACTGTAGGCCTGGGGCATGATACTTAGGTTACATTGTTGGTCAATGTTCCACTTCATTTAATAATATAAACCCCTGCCTATAAATGCAGTTTTCTAAGATGTGGCCAGAACTGCCAAATGAATTCTGTTAAGGTTGGAAAAAAATATTTCATTTCTGCAAGGGGTCTCTTAAATCCCAGCGTTAAAAAAGCACATATTAATATTATTCAATCAAAATTGCTTAGATTCTGGAGGGTCAAATATACTCCATAAGGGGGGGGGAATTATACTGAATATAATGTGGGGTGCTTTAATGCAGTATAACAGTATTAAGTAAATACACACAATTTTAGCAATCTATCGATATAACCCTGCTTCTATAAACTGCTCAAATTAAATATAAGGAGCAATATACATGTACTTACATACGAGACGTAGTACGCAAAGACTTTTCCTCTCTCCACTTTCTCCAAAAAAACTCGGCCTTCGATCTCATTTCAGTCGTTGTGGCTTTCAATTCTTTCTCAATATTTTTCTTTATTTTCTCCTCCAGCCGTCTTTGCTTGACATTTCTGGTCTCTTTACGTTTCCTTTCTCGTAATTTCTGTTTACGTCGGCGACGTTTAAGGCGCACTTCCTCGACATTATTTGGTCTGGAGAGACGACGCTGCTTCGCAGGTATAAAACAATTCTGTTCAGCCTCTGGTGGCACTGGGCTTTTAGCTTCCAGAAGGCTGCGCATTCCACTGGTAGCAAGTGCGCCACTCGCTGTGTGGAAAGACTGGTTAAAATGTGCCATTTCAACCGGTTTTGCGCAAGGTATACCACCAAAAGCTTTACAGAATTTTTCAATTTAAGGCTTTTCAAAATATTTGTCGTTCGTTGTCATTGCGCCAAAGTACGTAATGTGTGCTTCCCGCGCTTTTGCGTTATTTAACAATTATGAATTTATGATATTTGTCTCCGATCGGATAACTGTCCCCTATAGGGTGGGTAGGCAACTCATAATATGTCTGTTCTATAAATAACGCGACTAAAACAATGGCGGATTATCGTTGTAGAGGAAATGTGCACGGAATCAATTTTTAAATGACTTAGTATTCGTAAGGAAGCCCAATTTACATTTAGGCCAGTGCTTTTCTAGGTTATCTGGGTAAAGACTTTGATGTTCGTGTGTTATACCTAACGGAAGAAATATGATAACGATAGAATCCTGCTGTGAAAGTTTTCTACAACCAATGAAATATTGGACGTGATCGCGCTCAATTATAAATCTACATACAATTCAACAATCAACTGTGTCAATGTGTTCAAAGTCCTTTCGCGACAAACAGCTGAATCTGACTTCACTGGATTTTTCGACATATCCACTGAAATGTCTTTGCCCGATCAGTACGTTTTATTATTACAAAATGTGGTCGAGGAAAACAGGCTCTTGAGAGCTCAAATGGCTAATACCATTTCAAGCAATGAAAGTGCTTTGAAAAATATTGAAACAAAAATGGACATCTTGTCCCAGACAACTTCACCTGGCAGACGAGTCAGACAGACCGGGCAGAACAAACATAAAGTGCCCAAAGCTTGCAGTGTAAGTAAATACAGTTTCATTTATTTCCTATTAACCATTTCATCTGAATGGCTTTATGCCTTTATCCGTTGACCGTTTATGTTGAATAACAGATTTTAATAATATGAGGACAAAAATGTCCATATTGTTTGAATTGGTCTTTGTTTATATATAGTTATCTTTGTATGTTTTAAAGTCTTTATAAATGTCTCCTTATTATGGTAATATAATTATATTTACTATCAACCTATTCACTGCTTGTACCATAACACTAAAGGAGTAAAATGTCTGGTGTTACACAGAGAAAATCCAGGGGGCATGTCTAGGCACATTGCCACCAATTTAGGCTGACTTTTCAACTAAATGTTCAACTAAAAGCCAACCAAAGGTTTAACAGAAATCAATTGTAAGAACTGTAAAACCATGTTTAAAAAACCATTATTTTTAGATATTTAATTTTGAAAATGTGTTTACTAACCCATTAAGTGGCAATGTGCCCCAGGACACCCTACTTATATTTTTTACTTGTCTATTGCCAGACGAAATACTCGTCAGTGGGGAAGCTCTGCCACTTAATGGGTTAAACTGCATATTAGCTGGAAGTTGTGCTGACATGCTATAAATATAAAATACCAGTCTTTGAAATTTTATTTGAAGCCTTCAGAATTCTATGTGAGGCCTTCAGAATTGTGCGATATATGGTGAATTCAGAACATGTGATAATTATGCAAAATTCTGAAGGCCTTAAAATAAATTCATAATGGCATACATAAAATTCTAAAGGCTGGTATATTTTAATAGTGTGTCCCTTTGTACCACGTACAAGAACACTATCTTTTGAACAGTAACTCTCAAACTGAGCATGGAAGTTCGACAGTATGCTACACAGGTTAAGCACAAGTAATAATTTTGAACTAATTAAGTTTCTTGTTTCTAGCCCCGATTCTCAGCAAAATTCACAGCTATTTAAAAGAGTGGCAGAAGAACTGCAACATGAATTTGGTGGTCAGGAAAATTGTCCTTGGCCAACGGTTGTTTTAAAAGGTATATACTCAGAGTTTTAACTTGTAATGTAAAAGAAATATAGCAGCAATAAATCAGTTGACTAATATGTTCCTTAGTTCTCCAGTCTCTGAGTATAGACGTCTAATAGGATAGGGATTCAACCCTTTTTGCGGGAGTCGTGTAATTTATTTTAACAAGGCGCATCCAATGAATTACGACATATGAAAACCAGGTTTAAACCTTCGTCACAGGGAAAACCTTTCTCTGCGCTGGTGGTGCCCCATACGCACAGCTTTTTTGCAACTATGTTTTCAAATTGGGTTTTCCCTCGTGAAAGTAAGTTTCCTAGAAATTAGGGCCCTGAATCTAGAAGGTGATTGTTGCTTTTTTATGTTTTAGAGGCGTTTAAGAGGTATTTCAAGTCATGCAAAGCAAAACAGAAAAGAGTTGCTCTTGGAACAGAACAGCAACACGTTCAAATTTGCAGGAGAAGGAGCAGAAAGGAGGAGGTATGTTTTTACAATATCTTTTTAAAAATAGTTGATACTTAATGATTATTTTAGCTTTGCTTCATACTTGATTGAACACGACTATCTAACTACTTTTAACGTAACAGTTAAACAGTGTAGTAGGTTATATGCAACTACATGGAAAATAAGAAAATTCTTCGATGTTTCGAGCGAAGCCCCATCAAGAAGTTGGTTGTAGTACTTAGTTGGATAACCTACTACACTGACATGTAAGACTCGAACTCCGAAGAGAAAAACCACCGGAAGCAAAATTAGCAACTGGATTTTAGGCGAGACTATACTTAGCACCACAATCCAAACACTTACCCAAGTAAGAATATAATTATTCGACGATATTTGCTTTTAGAAACTAGCGAGAAGATTAAAAACGATCGAGAAAATGGGTTGGAACCAGACGAAAGTGGCAAAGGTGGCAGACGTCATGAGAATGGACTATATGTCCTCTGAAAAAAGCGAGGTAGACGAGGAAACAAATAGGATTAAACACTACAAGGTTCGGAAGCTTTCTTGGGAAAGCAGAGAATTAAAGCGAACTAAGAAGAAGCTTGATAAAAACCACAAGGATTCGCTACCTGGATTGTCCAAACGAGCTGTTACACCAAGAGAGGAAGGAGAACCCTCCGGTAAACCAAAACCAGCCAACTGTCCTGGTTGGGCGTGTGTTGTTCTAACTGAAGACCCGACAAATGAACCAGTTGGAGCACAATATTTAGCCGAGGATGATTTGAATCTGTCACGATAGACTCTTTAGTTAAAAATTGCTACAAAATTATTTCAGTTACATGTACATTGACGATGGACATCCTAGAAGATGCAAATAATTATGTATGCTAGTCCGATGCTCTACCAAATGAGCTACAAGGCCAAGTCGGTTCTTAAATATATGTTTACTCCGAACTCAAAGTTCAGTGCCCTTGTTTATTGGTCTCTAGACGCGCAATATATTTTTGAAAATATATTGGCTATTGCGCGTCTGGAGATCGATGCACTGAACTGTAATTTAATTGTTGAAAACACCATATTATTCACCGTACCAGAAACATCACATCATGCAATAATATTAGTATAGGAATCATGGATGTATACTATACATTACGACTTATCTATTTATTTAAAATGATGAATTTTTGTAAATACACGGGTATAGAGGGAAATAAATGCTTTTTTGCAATGAACTGGTGATGCTTGTATTTGTTTGACTATAGCTAGCTATACGTGTAGCTTGTACCAAATATAACGATTAGAAATTTAAGTTTTATTGCGAGTTGAGCTTGTAATTGAATGGAAATCAGTTTCTTCGTTTATTTACATGGAATAGGTTATATAAGTATAACAGCCATGCAGCTAACGAATTAACAAAAGCTGAATTATTGTGAATATAATAGGTTAATTAAAGACAGTTTAAATGTGCATTTACGCAAGGTTTAATCAATGTTTTAAGGCGATTAATCTATACTTATCTCACGCTTTATCGACCTTTAAACAATGTATTAAATCTACTTTTAATACACTTTAGCCAACTAGCACATTTATGATTAAAATCGACTTTAGTCAAAAAAGTCAAGATATTAAAGGCAATTATACGTTCCTTTAAACTGCCTTAATCTGCATTTAATCCACTTAATTAAATCTGCCTTTAGCACACTTTAATCAACATTTAGTCTTAAGTATTAATCCCGCCGTTAATACACTTAGTACTGAACATTAAACGTGTCTAAAGGTGTGTTTAGTGTATTTAATAAATCGCATTAAGTGTAACTAAACACCAATAAAATACACGATTAATCTGCCTTTACAACCGTATTAAGGGCACGCTTTTCGTCCTGTGTTCTGGACAGTCAAAGAGTATGGACATACTTCATCTCCATGTAAAATGCACCCGAAATGAAATTTTTTCATGCCGATCTGTTTGCTCCCGCTTTTTTATTTAGGCGAAAATTTTATAGTTTGCTAAATGTTGGCATCGATGTTTATGTAATGAAGTGTTATGAAAGATATACAACTGACAGGCAACCAGCAAAATTGCCAAGCAGTTGCATGCCCAGTTAGAATCTGGTGAGTTTTCGAGTTATTTTATGCATGTTTTCCCATGCAGTGGCCGCACGGGTAGGCATTTGTAGGAATTCCAACAAGATATAGACAGGAGCCTGTACACAAAGTCAATGCCAATACTGGAACATTTGTAATCGGTGCGACGGAGAACACTCCGGCCGAAATCACCTGTTCTAAAGCCAAAATTCCCACGCGAGATCAGATAAAGAAAAATCTGGCTCTTCCAGAAGCAAGTATCATGCGAAATCAAGTAGACAATAATAGTATAGTTACATCCAATATACCATCACCTATTTTAGTGTATAATTTAGAAAAGTCCCTGGAGAGTCACCCGGGTCCAAAGCTTTTTCACAACTATGTTCTGTTCAACCACCTAAGTGTGGGGCCCGAATAGGTTTCGAAGGGCAAAGATATCCTAGGATTTTCAAAAATTTGCCTACCGCATCTTCGAACCCAGAATTATTCAACCAATTTTCGATGGGTTTTGAAGAAGTGCCATGTAATATTTTTTTCATTTTTGTGTCCCTTGACATTTCATGAATTATATCGCCATTGCAATGTTTTGCCGTCTTTCTGCACGATAAATGCCACTTCTTGATCCCCAGCTGAATTTTTTTCACAGCATCGATAAATAATTGATAGTACAACATCACCTATCCAAAATTTAAAAGCATTTGTCCCACTTGGAAGTAAAAACCTCCCCTCGCTTATCCGGAGTGAAATTTAGGTGCAAAAGATTCAAAATAATTTAAAAGTCTAGCGCACACTCCACGACAATGCTCGTGGGCAACATTACAGGGGGGAGGAACATTTCACGTAGGCATTTCTGGTTTATATTTTAAACTTTGTGAAGGCAAGAACATGCAATTTAAACACAGAGACTTGGTAATGTTGCCTGAGAAATATTAACAGCAAAACGGACAAATTTTACTCGGGTTGTTGACTGATTGTGGTTGTGAACAAATGTATTCTTGAATATTTCTCCCCCCGTAATGCTGTCCATAATTATGAGTTTTCGCGAGACTTTTAAATTATTTTGAATCTTTCGCACTTAAATTCACTCCCGATAAACGAGGGGAGGTTTTTTACCTCCAAGTTGGAGAAATAAATGCTTTTAAATTTTGGATAGCTGTTATTTTATTATCAATTACTTATCGATGCTGTGAAAAAAATAAAGCTAGGGATTACAGCAACCATCAAAGAGAAACTCCGCGATACACCAAAGCCATATCGAGTGAAACACCAACAGGTGAGTTAAGACGAAATCGTTGCCACCTCAGGAAGCACCCACCTACTCCATGTGCACCACCCTACACCTCACAAAAAACCCCTAAAAACAACCAGTAATTGCACCCATGACAGACTAACAACCTGAAGTGGAAGAGCAATAAAACCACCAAACTATTATGCATAATTTAAAAAGAGAAAAATAAACCATTGTTACTAGCGACAGTCATTGACATTTTGTCATAGAGCGAGCTCAATTACAGTGATCGTTTAAATAACATCGGAGAAAGGGAGATGTTATTATAGTACTTTATGTAATTCAGAACATACGGAACACGCGACACGCAGTTCCATAGAATTGTTTTCTAAACAAGGATACTCGTTAGATATATACGCACACTTGTTATAATTATATTGTTATGTAAAGATGTCAGTTAAATAAAAACGATTTAAGGAGAATGATAACAAAAACGTGGGACACGACTCATTCACCTCTTACGTCATGTCACGTCAACGACAAAAACATCAACGTTTCAAGAATTGGAAATGTGAAACCACACAAATGTGATTTAACAAAGTTGTAAATATTTTAAAGTGGAATATCGGTGTGTAGAATGTAAATGGAGATAATTTGTTTACATTTTAAACTTCTATACTTTTTAAAATATTTTTTTGTTTTTAATGTCTAAAAAAATGTTATGTACATCCATTTGACGCACCTGGGATCTGATTGGTCACTATATATAAGCAATACTCAAGGACGCCGCTTGTTTGTTGGAGGACGAAAACCCTCTTAAGAACGATCATTTGAAAGTTTACGCTTGTAAGAAAGAAGAACCGTGGAGTTAATGAAAGTTCGCGGAACTGAAGTTCGTGAAATTTAAACCGAGAAAATACTGAAAGGTGAAGCAAAGTAATGTTAATTGTTGTGCCCGCTATAGTTTCAACAATATTTTTTTAATACTTTTGGCAGCTGGGGACAGGTTTAAACATTGCTTACTGCAGGCTAAGAGTTTTAGTCGTGTGGGCTTCATCGTCCCATATTTAAACAGCCGATATCATTGATTTCCATGCAAGTCGTACTGCAAAAGACAACAACTGAACTTTGGACAAAATTTTCAATGTCTGGTATTATAATAAATGAACCCACAAAAGTTAAAAGTATAAAAAGTTAAGAATATCTACACTATCTTAGAGTGTGTGACAATTCGTTACTTATAAATGTTCACTATAATACTCGCGATATTCAGCAGTGTATATGATGTCAGTAGCAATAGGGTAATGCGTGTTTATGTAGTATTTGTTTCACGTTTGCCGTATTAAAGCTAGTGCTAGTTCAACGCCTGTGCGTGTGTACTCATGTCTAAGAAATAACGCCTTAAACTCATCATAACTACGTGCGCCAGAAAGACTGTTGTTGAACTGGCAGCTGGCAATGAGCTTGGCAGTTGGCACAATGAGTTTTTAGTATGATTATAGATACGTCGGCGAATTCTCGATCCTAGGTTTGTTTATACTGAATTGTAATGCATTTTTGAAAAGCAGCAGGTTTTAAGGTTTCAGCGTTCTCACTTTTAAGGAAATTTCCTTAGAAAAGTTTTATTCTATGTAGGGGAGGGAGGAATATATATTATATTCTTTTCAAATGTTCTTTGTTTTTGTCTCACTCCGGCAAAGCATCCTTCGTCACAGTAAAAAAGTATACATATTTAAATTGTGAGAGCAGTGCGTGGTTTGTCAAATTTTCGCGAGGAAATAGATATTTTTGTTGAGGGCCGGTGTATGAATTTTTAATTAGTTTAGGCATAGAACTCTGACTTTTTTATTAGTTATTTTAAATTATTCATTTTCATTTCGACAGAATACTCTTACGCTTTCTTAGACACTGTCATTGTAACCATTTCAAAACTCAAATTCGAAATCGATAGCAAGAGAAAACTAGAAGGGGAATCTACTACGATAATTAAGCCGGAAAATTCTGTTTAAAATGGTTGCTGTAGTCAATTGAGACTATGTCCTGTGCGGCCACCTTTTGCCAAATTGTAAATATTTTTTTCTGAAATAAAGTGATTAGAAAGAAAGAAAAGAAAAAAGTTATCAAATGTAGTGACTTAGTGCTAAGATAATTGAAAATATTCTAATGAAGGGCTAAATGCAACCAAAATGGTTTTATTATTATTATTATTATTATTATTTATCACTCATTTACAGTAGCATAGCCAGCTTGACGAGTTGTCCCGATCTGCTAATTAATATTTTGTTGTTTATTGACTGTGAAAACAATGAATTTCTGAAGAAATAAATATTGTAATAACACGAAATTTACATAGCGGGACAAAATCGTCAGGCTGGCTACGCCACTGCTTATTACAATGCACTTTCGTTAAAAATGATCTTGCCTCAGATCTTGATTTCCTTTGTGCAGATGTACTCCTTCGCTCTTAATTTCTATTCCATGCAAAAGAGAGACTAACTTTTTTACAAATTGCTCAATTTCCGAAATTTCTAAATCTTCTGGACACAAACTGAAGAACATATAGGCCTATACCGGAAATTATTTAAATATGTAACAACTAGAATATTTTTTTTTGTAGGCGCCGTGCTTTCACCGTTCCATGCATGAATTATGTAGCTGCGACATCTTGATTCCTGAATCATAGCCAGAGTAATGGCTGTCTTTAGGATTGTAGATTCAGAGCATGCAATAGACTCTATTTACCTTCTGACAGAGCCAAGATTTTAAACAATATCACCACTGCAAATATTCTTATAAATCAACCAGGAATGTCTGAAATGTGAACAAATAGTGATTGGTTGGAATTAGGAGCATTTCTCAATCGACTCTTTAAAGACCGAAAATATCGCCGTGCTTCCAATATTGGAAAATGCTTTGAAGCATTTTTAGATTAGCTATAACTATAAGTTTATATTATGGAATGACTCAATGGCAAAGCGTTCATAGCCAGTATTTATATCATTTGGTACAAAATAGTTTATATATATCATTCGGTACAAATTTCAAAACTTGAGGCTTTAGAAAAAGATCAAAACAGTACAAAATCTTCAAGTACAGAACCTCAAATATTCATCGAATATATATCCCATCTTTTACTGTAAAAGACATTTCAAAGCTTCATATATATAGAGTATAAATCGTTCCTTTTTCGCTTCTAATCTTGAAGAGCAACCCTTTTCGCTTTTGATAAATGTTTCTTGATTATTTTCGTTGATTTGACATTATTTTCCCCATTTTTTTTGGTATAATTTTTTTATAAAAAATTTGGAGTTAAATTTGCAGTTAAATTGCTGACTTTATTATTGAAATACTATTTTCAATAGTATTAAATCAGAAAAAAAGTATCTATCCACTCATTTTTGCGCATGCGCGTAACTAACAAAGCCGTTCAACGTCCATGGCATAGAATTTGACAACTTTGGATTCTGCTATATTCTGCCAGAACAACCGGGTGTATAATTGCTAATCTCCGGGCAAAATTAGTACCCTCGCACGGTGCTCCGCATCAGCTCCGAGACTAATTTGATTAATTTTGCTTATCAAATACTTGTCTTAAAGATAAAAATTTTTGTTTGACGATACACTGTGATAATTTTCATTATAAAACTTCCAGTCATGTCTCATTCAATTGAAATTAACATAAACTTCCGATTTATGTAAAGTAACTTTACAATAAACATCTATTTAGTTTCGAATTCTGAATGATTCCACGAACCTGTTGTCACCTGTGTTTGTAAGGAAATAAAAAATTATTACGTATTTACATTTCATATATATACCTATATATCTTATCAGTGAAAATATTGACGGGGTATATAATATTATTATGTTAATAAAGTCAGACTTTCTTAAGCCTGGTTTCCATATGACGCCGACGTCGGCAAAGTATTATTGTCGGTGATTACTGATGAGTGAAATCTTTTGTCTTTCTGAAATCATTTTCTCCTTGGATGATTACAGACAATGAGTCGGCGACAAGTCGGCGTCATATGGAAACCAGGCTTTATTAAAAGACGTGTTTGCCTTTGAGATCAGTCATTTGAAAGTCTGAGGTGCAGGAAGAGCCTGAGTTTCAAACGGATCTACGTATTTATAAGAAGAGTCTGTCCAGAGATAGGAACGACCAACATATATATTCAAACGTGCATAAAGGTAAAATTGCGTACGTAGCAATATAAAATAAATAATTTTTTTGCGTCTTGTTTTGCTAGGGTCGGTAACCAGTCAAAAAATCTTGCGTATTACAATATAGAAAACAACTCGGTTCCTCGGTTCAACCGCGATCAGACCGACGTTTGACCTAGGTTAACCGCGGTTTTTGTTAGGTTATTTCTGGACAGTACTGTATAGTTCAGTTGAATGAGTACATGCATGATATAACAATGTTATATAGTGGCCGGGGTATACTAAATGAATACGTGACATGACAGTGTTGTTGGGTATACGGAAGCATGTAGTTTATTTGTATACGAGCTTGATACGTCGTTGTCCAAAGTCATAATCGACTATGGATTTTTCCCATGGATTTCACATCAAAAAGGATCTTTGAAGGCGTAGATTTGAATTGATATGGAAAGCTGTAGAAATGATTGCATGGCTATATAAACGCATTGCAATTCAGTCATATTCTATACTGTAAACCAATCATTTTAGGCTAGCCATAATTTTAGCTAAATAGGTTATATCTGGACAGTACTGTGTTCGCTATATGCATACTGCATGCTAAGCGAACACGTTTTTCTCGTCGTTGTTTTTTATTTGACAAACTCTGTGTTGAACGTAGTGGAAACTGGCCTCTATAATATGACAACAATTAACCATGCAGAAAAACAATAAAACATTTAACGCTTCAATTGATAAGTAGGAATTGGCGAAACAGTCAACGTATAGTATCGATTAATATATTCAAAAAATATCCGATTCTATCATATCAACGAACACTTAACTCACTATTTTTACTTTTAAAAGTGAGGTAATAAACATTACTAATGAACACCTGATTGCGATTTTTCCCATAATAAATCAATATTGAATGGTGCTGTATAGTTGTCTGGGCTTTATAGCATTTATATCCATGGAGTACTACAATGAGTAAAAAAATAGATCTCATATCTCAACTGTAAATCATCCAATCAGAAAGCTCGATTTGTACCACGTGATCAATAAATTAATCATCGAGTTCCATCGAATTTTTTCACATTATGCTATGAAAGTCGAATACCCCGCTGCAGCGGGGTATTGATAAATATTCCATGCCTTATAAGGTAACCCAGCTTCACAGACCGGCGAAGAGCAGAGTTTTTGTTTTCGATAACATTCTCTTTTGCCACTTACCCCCGCTTCCATTCAATTCTAATTCGAACGAAATGCTCATTTTCAACTGCTCTAGATCGTTTTCATGTCAAAGCACAACGAACCCCAAACAGCACATCATATTTTAAGACATAGCGTATGGGACCCGCTTTTCCAAAGAGAATGTAGGATTCGCTTTTGTTATTGTGCGTTTGCATGGTCCCATGCTGTCTTCATGATATTTTGTAGATTCAAAACGATAATTTTTTTTCTTGTTCTTTTAGAAATAATTTAAGGTTTACATAATGGAGTTGTCAAAAAATATCACTGCTTCAAGTAATCATTCAAATCGAACAGAGATGTTAGAAGACAGTAAATGGTTGGAATTTGAAGCTTTTAAGGAACGACTCTATTTGGGCATGAAAGATTTGGTAATTTTTTTCACCATTCTCATAATATTGGGAAATACTTTGGTGTTGATCGTCACATGGAAGGAAAGACGTCTTCATCAACCAAGTAAATATTTTCTTGCTTTTCTTGCTGTCGCTGATCTTCTCGTTGGTTTATTTGTGGCTCCATTCCAGGCTTATCAATTAGGCCAGGCATACGGGAGAAGTGGCCGAGATAATATGTCGATTCATCTGTGTCGTTTTATGTTGTGGATGGACACCTTTGCGTTAACAGCATCTATTTACTCGCTGACAGCAATTAGTTGTGATCGATATCTCAAAATCAGCAAACCGCTTCTGTACAAATCACGAATGACAACTTCTAGATCAATAAAGATAATTTTCGTCATTGTTCTTATTTCAACTACTCTTGCCACATACTCTGCAACTGCTCGTTCAGGAAGCTCTGGAATTTTGCTGACCGGAACTGGCCCTTGCAGTTCGGGCGCTGACTTCAAAAAATCCACGATATTTTACCTTGGCGTAACAATAATTGCGTTTTTTCTACCTGTCCTGGTCATCGTGATTATGTACACTCTGATTTTTCATGTCGCTCATAAACGAAACAAAATGCTCGTGAATGGGGAACTGGGTCAAACAATAATCAATCAGAACCGACGAACTGCATTACGACGAGATATGAAAGTGATCAGAATGCTGCTGGTTGTCGTTGGAGTTTTTTTACTTTGCTGGGGTCCTAAGTTTACTTGGATATTGATAGACTATCTAAATACTATTGATTGGGAAAACATTTCATTAAGCTTGGAGTACAGGGTGCATGTATTTGCTGGTATAGCAAACACACTTCCATTATTGAACAGTCTGTGTAACCCAATAATCTATGTCTGTCTTGATCAAACGTACCAAGAAGCCTTTCAACGTATTTTCCGTCGCATGATGCGTCGACCAGAAGCGCGAAGACAACAGCCACCAATAGAGTTACGACCCCCAAGAGCCTGATAAGGAATCTTACATGAAGTAAACCTTTATTAACTCCGTCATTTTGCATCGGCGTGCTGGTGACGGTTTATATGTGTTTATTATTCAAGAAGAAGAAACTATACTAATTTCGCTTTAGCTAATTTTGTTTGAGGATACACCGTGAATTTTTTCATTGTAAAGCTTTCGTTCCGTTTACTTCGACCGGTATTGACTTTTTTAATTTAAGTTAGAAGTAAATTTAGCTAAATTTTGCGATCTAATATTTATATACTCGAGTGGTATGAAAGAGTAATCATAACTACGTGCGTCAAAAGACTGTTTTAGAGCCGACAGCTGGCAATAAGTTGGTGGAATATGTTTTTAATATAAGTATACTTGGTGAATTCTCGATCATAGGTTGGTGTATACTGGATTGTTATGCATTCTTGTGCCAGGTTGCATATTTTTCAAATTTGTTCATTCTCCTGGTGTTAATAAAAGCTTCCGATTTTAATAAATCACTTTACAATAACCATCTAGTTAGTTTTGAATGTTGCGTGATTCGACGAACCTGTGTCTGTAAGCAAATTAAAAATATTCCGTATTTGGAATACTCTAACTGTTTCGTTAATTCTAAAGGAAACATCTGCGCTCGAAATTCATCCCATAGAACTAAATAATTGATGTTATTCAATGGTGTTATCAAAAGTCAGTTATACAGTCCAAGACATTCTTAATGTCAGAAAACTTTTAAATTTTCGTGACTTTTTCGCCCATATTTTTGGACCAGGAACTGGTCCCTAACCGCTGCTAATCTTGTTGTTGTTGTTGTTGTTGTTGTTGTTGTTGTTGTTGTTTGGGGGCGACGCTCTTTAAAAAAACCCTAAGGCTCTATCATTACTTGTTTGATCGGAATGAAACTTGGCACAATTATTCTAAGCATTATTCCGCATCGATTGACGGAGTTCGAATTTTTACTTTTGACCTTTGAAGCAAGTTACAAGCAATTCTTGGTATATTTGCAGCAAATAATATATACATATCATTAATATTCAGCCTACATATAAGTAAACGGAAACGATTAGAAATACATTGTCCTCTCCATTGTTATAAATACAATGCAGTTCAGAAATTAAACTCGGTTACGCAGTTCCTGGTCCCTATAGTACGATCGTACTTGTTATAGCATTCAACTGTCATGTAGTTCAACGTTTATGTGGCTGGCAGCTAGCCGATGGATCGGCAACACTATGTCAACACTGCCTGTGAATAGGCGGCTCGTCCATATAATTCTCCTGCTTTTATTTTCTGAATTTCTTGCGTGCTTTGTGAGTGTAAAGAGCTGGGCTTCTTAACTATGGGATTTCAAATATTCACAATTCAAGGCAAAACAAACAAAAAGTAAGACGAATTTTTTCTGTTTTGTGTTCTTTTGTAACATCTTGTGTAATGCTTGCTTCTTGCTTTCTTTTAATTACCATGCAATTGACTTATTTTTTGGCACAGAATTACTAATCAGAGTCTATAAGCGGCGATTGTTAGCATTTTTACTGATGGTAGATTTAAATCAGACCAACTGTGTGGCTGTCATGTTTGAAGATACATTTCAACATGTACATAGGTTAAAACTCATTTGCTATTTTCGGGCATAATTTTTTGTTTAAACTTTAAAAATGTAATTGTGATAGTAACAAAAGTTTAAAAAGTTAGTTACAGTAGAGTTATTAGGTTTACGGTCTATTTTCGGTTGTAAACTATAAAATTGCAGGGTTTAATCCTGCATAAGGACCATCGCGATTTTTCAGAAGAATATGGTGGGTTACAAATAGTAACAAGTTTCTCCCACAACCCCAAAGTAACGGATATACAATAAAAGCCAAGTAAAAATAGTAAAAGCTACGCTACATTAGCTAAAGCCACAAAACCAAAAGTGATTCCCACATGGTGCTGCTTTGTCTGCGTGGAACACCAATTAATAACGTATTACCGTCACCTGCAGAGCTACTATTTAAAAGAAACATTCAGGTTAACCTACCAGAAAAGATTACCCGAGATCACAATGGCGAACATATCATAATTTATCAAGATTATAATTTAGACGAGAGAGACAGAAATTCTATCATGACCAACATATGAAGCCTCTAACCACTCTCCAGCCAAATCAACCTGTCTGCGTACAAGATACCTCAACTGCCAAATGGAGTCCGGCAACTATCAAAGAGAAACTCCCTGATACCCCAAGATCGTATCGAGTTGAAACACCAACAGGTGAGTTGAGACGAAATCGTTGCCACCTCAGGAAAGCACCCACCTACCCCACCAACTCCACCTGTACCACCCTACACCTCACAAAAAACCCCTAGTACAGGCAGTCCAACCAAATCCAACAGCCAGCAAACAACCAGTAATTGCACCCATGACAGACTAACAACCTGAAGTGGAAAAGCAATTAAAACAACCAAACTATTATGCATAAGTTAAAAGAAATCATTGTTACTAGCGACAGTCATTGACATTTTGTCATAGAGCGAGCACAATTACAGTAATCGCTTAAAGCACATCGAAGAAATGAAAAGAGATGTATTATAGTACTTCTGTAATTCATAACATAAGCACACGGGGCACATGATACGGGACACGTGTCACGCGGTTACATAAAATGGTTTTCTAAACAAAGATATTTGTTGGATATACAGGGTGAGTAAAAAAACCTAACACCTTTAAAATTCAAATTTGTCGCATAGCGGCTGTAATGTGGCAGAAGTTGCTTAAAATATTTCATAGGTATACGAAGCATATCATATTAATTAACCTAGAGCATAAAGTTTGTTCTCATAGGGAGTTAAAATGCATTCTAAGCTCTGTAAATACAAAAGAAAAGTTTTATCAAATCGTTTTTGTTGATTCTACATGGGAATTGTCATATTCCAGCCATAAGTTCGCAGCTATAATTTGAATTTCAAAGGTGTCAGTTTTTTTTACTCACCCTGTACATGCATGCTTGTTATATTTATATTGTTATGTAAAGATGTCATTTAAATATAAACGATTTAAAGACTCATGCACCTATTGCGTCATGTCACGTCGACTACAGAAACAGCAACGTTTCAAGAAGTGGAAATGTGAAACCACACAATTGGATCAGCACAAGTGAAATATCCGTGTGTAGAATGTAAATGGAAACGATTTGTTTACATTTTAAACTTCTATACTGAAAATTTTTTTTAATGTCTAACAAACGTAATGTACATCCATTTGAGGCACCTGGGATCTGATTGGTCACTATATATAAGCAATACACAAGGACGCCGTTTTTTGCTGGGGGACGCAAACCCTCTTAAGAAGGATCATTTGAAAGTCTACGTTTGTAAGAAAGAAGAACTGTGGAGTTAATGAGAGTTCGCGGAACTGAAGGTCGTGAAATTTAAACCGAAAAAATACTGAAGGTAAAGGAAGGTAAAATTAGTTGTTGTACCCGCTGTAGTTTCAACAAAATTTTTTAATATTTTTGACAGCTGGGGACAGCTTTAAACATTGCTTACTGCAGGCTAAGAGTTTTTGTCGTGTGGGCTTTTTTGTACTATATCTTCTCTTCTTCGTCTCACTTTTAAATAGACGATATTATTGATTCCCATGCAAGTCGTACTGCAAAAGAGAACAACCGAACAGTTAACGTATAGTATCAATTAATATATTCATAAAATATTCGATTCTATAATATCAACGAACACTTAACTCACTAATTTTACTTTTAAATGTAAGCTAGCAAACATTACTATGCCCTCAGTATTCACAAAACCCTATGAACACCTGATTGTGATTTTTCACATAATAAATCAATATTGAATGGTGCTGTATGGTTGCCTGGGCTTTATAGCATTTATATAGATGGAATACTACAATGAGTAAAAAAAAATAGTTCACATATTCATACATTTTTCACAATAGTCCATGCCTTATAAGTTAACCCAGCTTCACAGACCGGCAAAGAGCAGAGTTTTTGTTTTCGATAACGTTCTCTTTCGCCACTTACCCTCCGCTTCCATTCAATTCTAATTCCAACGGAAGGCTCATTTTCAACTGCTCTAAATCGTTTTCATGTTAAAGCACAACGAACCGATACTGTGTACATTATGCAAAGGCTACATGATATTTTAAGACATAGCGCATGGGAACTGCTTTTCCCTAGCGAATGTAAGACCGGCTTTTCAGTTTTTTTCATTGTTCGTTTGGTGCCATGTTGTCTTCATGATATTTTGTAGATTCAAAACAATAATTTTTTTTCATGTACTTCTAGAAATAACTTAAGGTTTACATAATGGAGTTGTCACAAAATATCACTGCTTCAAGTAATCATTCAAATCGAACAGAGATGTTAGAAGACAGTAAATGGTTGGAATTTGAAGCTTTTAAGGAACGACTCTATTTGAGCATGAGAGATTTGGTAATTTTTTTCACCATCCCCATAATACTAGGAAATACTTTGGTGTTGATCGTCACATGGAAGGAAAGATGTCTTCATCAACCAAGTAAATATTTTATCGCGTTTCTTGCTGTCGCTGATCTTCTGGTTGGTTTATTTGTGGCTCTATTCTTCGCTTATCAATTAGGCCTAGAATACACCAGAAGTGACCGAGATAATATGTCGATTCATCCGTGTTTTATGTTGTGGATAGACACCTTTGCGTTAACAACATCTATTTACTTGCTGACAACTATTATTTTTGGTCGACATCTCAAAATCAGCGGATCACTTCTGTACAAATCACGAATGACCACTTCCAGATCAATAAAGATCATTTTCGTCATTGTTCTCATTTCAACTGCTATTGCCACGTACTCTGCAACTCCTCGTTCAGGAAGCTCTGGAATTTTGGGCACCGGAACTGGTCCTTGCAGTTATGACGCTGACCTCGAAAAATCCGCTATATTTTTTCTTGGCTTAACAATAAGTGTGTTTTTTCTATCCGTTCTAGTCATCGTTATTATGTACGCTCTGATTTTTCATGTCGCTCATAAACGAGACAAAATGGTCGTAAATGGGGTACTTGGTGAAGCAATAAACAATCAGAACCAACGAGCTGCATTACGACGGGATATGAAATTGATCAGAATACTGCTGGTTGTCGTTGGAGTTTTCTTACTTTGCTGGGGTCCTTTGTTTACTTTTATATTGATAGAGTATCTAAATATCATTGACTGGGATAACAATTCATTAAGCTTCGAGTACAGGATGTATGTATTTATGACTATTGCAAACATACTTCCATTTTTTAACAGTCTGTGCAACCCAATAATCTATGTCTGTCTTGATCAAACGTACCAAGAGGCCTTTAAACGTATCTCCCGTCGAATGACGGATGCGTCGACCAAAAGCGCGAAGACAACAGCGATAGAGTTACGACCCCCGAGAGCCTGATGAGGAAACTTACATGAAGTAAAAAAAGATTTGTATATGTCTAAATTCAAAATTATTTAGAAAAAGGAAGCCTATGATTGTAAGAACTTAGGCTTCATGATCATGATTCTGACGTGAGTAATCGTATGTTCGCAACAAAATTTGAGAGAGACGTCAGCTTTATTATTAACTTCGTCATTTTGCATCGGCTGCATGGTTGATGACGGTTTATATGTATATAAGTTATACTTGGTGAATTCTCGATCCTAAGTTGGTTTGGATTGTAATGCAATTTTGCGCATATTTTTCAAATTTTGGCATTCTGCTTGTGTACAAGAAATTTAATTGAATTTAAACTAAACTTCCGATTTTAATAAAGTAACTTTACAATAACCATCTAGTGTTGAGTATCAAAAAATGCTAAATCTGAACATCTTCATTTAATATAGTAAATAGTTTAAATAAATTCGTCATATGAAAGTGTCATTGGGTAGCTGTAAATTTTTTAAACAATGTATAAATTTAGAATAAATGACGTTATTCAATGGTGTTATCAAAAGTCAGTTATATAGTCTAAGACATTCTTAATGTCAGAAAACGTTGAAAGTTGATGTGGCTGGCAGCTAGCTCATCTATCGGCAGCACTTTTAGTCGTCCATATAATTCTCCTGCTTTTATTTTCTAAATTTCTCGCGTGCTTTGTGAGTGTAATAATGTCAGGATCTGGGCTTCTCAACTATGGGATTTCCAATATTCACAATTCAAGGCAAAACGAACAGAAAGTAAGAGGAATTCTTTCTACGGATTTTTCAATCTATGATTAAATAACGCATAATTACCATGAAATTGATTTTATTTGTGGCACAATTTACCTGCATCGAGTGAAGTGCCAAAAATCATAACTTATTTACCCGCACCTGTTCTAAATGTAGATTATATGCGCAAATAAATCAATGATATGACAGTGTTATTGGGTATGCTATGCATTTACTACAATGTATAAATTTACAAAATATATGAAAAAAATTCATTAATATTTATGTATTTTTTTAATGTGTAAATGAAAAAATCTGATTGGTTAAAAGACTGTTAGAAATAAAGTTTGGGTTTTTTACGCCTTTTTTCGTTTGTCAATACGTTGTTTTTTTAATCGTTTGTCGTAATTTAGTTGCTATGGTAACAATATTTGCCATTTCATCGGCTGTTTCCCGACTAGGATATTTTTATATAAGGAGTTGTTCACGTATTAAAATTCTAAAATAGCTTGCAAAATTTATGGTTTTTGGTTGATTCACTAAATTTGTTGTATTTTTTGTGTTTGATAAAGTCAATTTCGAGACCTCGGGGACAGTTTTTTGCATCTGGACCGAAGATGCTGGTAAATTAAGTCGCGTTTACACTACGTACTTTGACCTGGCCTGGACCAGGCCTAGGACTAGATGTGAACGTTGTTTATCCGGCCTAGATGAGGCCTGGGCCTGACCTAGGGCAATGACTGTATAAGACCCGATTTTGGTATATATAATGTGAACAGGCTAATTTACCTAAAATTATAGGCCTATAGTCTTGACAAATTTTGAACTTAATAGTGTGATTTGTATAATAGGATAGATAATTATAGCATTACCACTTTTCGGCGTGTTTTAGGTCTCTTTCCAAGTATTTTGTCAAAATACTTTGCCTATCCGATATCATTATATCAATACTTTGGCTATTCGATATTCCTACAAGAAAGACAGTGTAAACGTGCTACCTATTACCTAGACTGCTTCTAGACCTGGTCCAGGCCTAATATATACATATAGTGCAAGACAGTCTGTGTTCAGTGATGTCTGAAAACTTTTCGTGGCTTGCAAAAATACCTGATATCCGAAGGATCACTTCCGATGAAATGGAACCCTGACTTAGAAGGGTTTTAGTGGTCCATTGCTTTACTTTCTCTAATTGAAAGGCGATCCATTATGACATAAAATTAGATAAATTCTGGGAAAAAATTGGACAAAAAACTTGTTTTCGTTTTGAGGCATGTAGCAGTGCTCGGAAGCTTTCGTCCAATTGGATAATGCTTTTCTATGCTTTTTAAAGAACGAAGCTATGCTATAGGTTGAAACAGAAATGTAATGTAAAATTCAGCCAATGAAAATCATTCTTGCGAGGAGCTGCGACCCTACCCTTCGTTTTAACCTATACAATGCGTACGGCGTACCACAATACTAACATATCTAACAATTGTAATCACCGAGTCTGAGGCGAATTTTAATCACTGTAATCACCGAGTCTGAAGCGACTAAGTGTTTTCGCATAATTTCAGTATTGAAAAACTTTTATTTATCGATAAAACTACGAAGTAAACCGAGTTTATTTATATAAATTGCGCAAGTGATTGACTTCCGTCTTTTTGTGCAGTCATAGAGTATGGATCGATGTACTTCCGCCTGTATTCTAAAAGCTCACTCGCACTCAAACTCTTTGAGTGAGAGATCTTAAACTTCTCATAACGTTTCCATGACGGTATTTCCGTGTTTTAGCTTAAATCTTTCCACCTATTCAGAAAGAACTTTCTTATTGACCAGCATTGACAAAATATTTATGTCACACTCTTTGAGTGTGAGTGCAAGTGAGCTTTTTGAATACAGGTGTTCATCTCCATGTAAAAACACCGAAAATGATGATTTTTTTTAAAGATCTGTTTGCTCTCGCTTTTTTAATTTAGGCTAAAATTTTAAAGTTTGCTAAATTTTGCCATCGATGTTTATGTAATGAAGTGTTCTGAAAGAAAGCCCTCAAAATTCATCATAAGTATGTGCACAAAAGAACCGACAATTGGAAAGGGTTGTGATGAAGTAAAATTTTCCATGTAGCTATATATCTAGTTAGCTTAGAATGATTTCCGATTTTTATAACAAAAATATCCATAACTATGATTTAAATATGTAATAATTCTAGATTTTTAAATCAGTAATTCCCGGAAATACCACAAGCAATTTGTTACATGCAGAGCATTTGGTGCGTTAACCCTGGCCTTATTGGCGGCATTTACAATCATCGACGCTGTCCATTATCGGTGATCTCTAACGAATAAAGTTCTTTGTTATTCTAAATAAAACGTTTTTCAAATTTCAAATTCAAAATTATTATTTGTCCAAATTACAAAATGATTTGCATTTATTATCTAAAATGCACATATAGTGGAATAGGGACCTTTAGAAACCTTATTTCTTTGTCATGTCATCGACAACTGACAATTAATTAACCGTCGGAAACTTTTGAGAATCGGGCTGAGTTCGCTTCTCGTCTTGACTGACGTTAGAAACTTATTCGGAGGTTTATTCGTTCATGTTAATATGTCATATAAACTTCACTTAATTCTCATCTTAGACCTGCTTTAAACGTCGCATGTTCGCCGTGTCCAATGTAAATAAGGCAGCGTTTATATTCATGAGATAATAATGAGGTGATAATGAAGGTTAAAGGCGCTTATCTCGTTTACTATTTTCTCCAATTTATTCGACGCGACGAAAGTTCAACTTCTAAACTACAACTAAACAGTGATTTGCATGAACGCGTATCGAGAACATTTTTAGCCAATCATTTTATCCAACTGTTTCGAGTTGCAACCGTTCGAGCTTTTCCATTCACAAGAATTAATGGGCTTGAACAATCGCCAGTATCTGAGAACAGCAAGTTCAGCAAATATGGCATAGTTAGACAGCGTACTATAAGACCTGCATGGTTTTAATTTATTTGGCTGAAAAATTTTCTTTATCATTTTGTTTTCCTTTGAAAGCAAAGGACATTAGGAGAAAACTCTTCACAAAATCTTGTCACCTAATCGCAGGTCCAGAAACTGTGATATTGACGTTTCATCCAATCATGTAGGTATACATCTTATGAAAATATTGACCCGGGTATATATTATGTTAAATAAGTCAGACTTTCTTATTAAAAGACGTGTTCGGTTTTGAGATCAGTCATTTGAAAGTCTACGATTGCAGGAAGAGCCTGAGTCTCAAACCGAACGAGGTATTTATAAGAAGAGTCTGTCGCACTGAAGTCCAGAGAGAGGAAGGACCATACATTCAAACGTGCATAAAGGTGAAATTACGTACGTAGCAATATAGAATAAATACGATTTTTTTGCAACTTGTTTTGCTACGGTCGATAACCTGTCGAAATAATCTTGCGTATTACAATATAGAAAACAACCATTATTTGGTCAGTTTTGCAGACCTTGTTTTCTGGAGAATAAGAATTCGTAAATTTCGCGTTTATCAAGTCTATAAACACGCGCTAAAAGTAGTTCGATGCGTGGAAGCCATTTGGCTATAGATTGCCTTTTAATTTGGTTTGAAATATGGAATTTCTCCTAATTAAATGCTACAAAAGGGAAATTTTTTGAAGTATTAATGTGCGCAAAAAAGACTTAGCAATACAATTTAAAAAATATTCGTCATGTAGAGATAAACTTGGAACAATATTTTGATAAGTAAATATATGTGTTATTGCATGGGTATACTATATATATATATATATAGGTTATATATACTATATACATGTTTGACGTAAACGGAAAGCTCTAATGTTAAATTACATATAAATATATACAGATTATATCAAGTAATTATATTGCTTAAGAGAAATTTGTTTCTATGCCTGCATTTCGATAACAGTTCACTTCTTGAATTTAAAGAACAAAGTTCAGGGTGGTAAATTATGATAAATTTTTCATGTGTACAAAGGCTGCAGCGTTTTGTTGTGCTGTTATAGCTCTTGCATTGTTTAATAATACGCCAGTCTATAGAGTACTTAACCTTTGACTCTTTAAGTTGCCAGATGTATTTGCTCAGTTTTGTCGCATTTCTATACTTGCTTAATCTAAAATAATGAACTAGATTCATTAAATGAATAAAATGATCTAGAGACAGAAACGTTAAATGAACTAGAGACAGAAACGTTATATGGTTTAATCCACCTTACAACTCCAATGTCGAAACGAATATCGGACACAAATTCCTCCAAGC